GTAAATTATACTAGAAATGGTGATTACAAAATCAGTTATTGAAGCTCAAACTTGATTTGGAGAATTAGATCCATGAGATCTAATAAAAAATTAAAAATCCATCAGGGGCTTTATTAAAATGCGGTGAGAATCGACCACGATCGAACGAGATATGAGTGTTCATAATATGTTTCCCATTTGTTCTCTTTCACGTTTTTCTCTCTCTTGCTTAGATAATAGAATGCAAAGGAAATTTTATGTCAAAATGTTCTTCAAATTTTTTCTCTTTACCCCTTGTATTTTACACTAAAAATCAAATGACATTGTGATCTTCACTCTTTTTTTTCGTAAACTATCTCTTGAGCACATACAACCTCCTTCATTTTGCTGAAATATTAGTACATAAGGTCAGTATATATTTCTCCATTTATTCATTTACTATTTCTATATTCTAGACTCAATGTCTTGTTATTAGGAAATTTTGTCAATGGTAACAGTGTGAGGATGCGTCACATGTGTAGAACTTGTTTTTGTTTCCTCATGTGCATTCTTTAATGCGTTAGTTCCGAGCGGTTAGGCTATACTTTCTGTAAAAGATAATGCTTTGGGATCTATTAGTGGTCTGCAGATGTTTCTCTTCAGATTCATTATTTATTATATAGTAAATCGTTGAATCCCTTTTTCCCTCCTTGGTTATTTGGAAGTTGGTACTTTCTTATTCTTGGGAAGGTATAGTTTCTGTCTTTGGTACTATTACTGATTGTTGCTTGCAAGTAATAAACTCTTTGCTACCAGTTGCTCCAGTATTTTTCCATCTTTCCTTAAATGTTCATGTGGAAAAAGTGGAAAAAGAGTTTTACATGATTTGGCAGGTTTTTGTTCCTCAGATTTAAGTATCTTGGAACGTCATTCAACGTATTCATTAAGCCATGAGAAGACGACAACTCGATTATATATAATGATGTACGGGAGAGCATTGTCTGAGAAGCTCTCAGAAATTCCCATCAAAGATGTTATAAGCAGGTTTGTTAATGTGCATTCCTGATATTTTTTATGTTAGCACGATGTTTTGGTATTTTCTTCATGATTAGTTAGTACTCTTTGAAAATTTCCTTTCTTTGTGCAATGTGACAAGATTTTAAGAATTTGAAGGAAGGTCATCTAGATCTAGGTTCTCAGTGTCCAATAGGATGAAATGAACGTGTGGTTTTTTTCAGAGAGAATTGCATGTCCTCTTTGAAAAAAGTTACAGGGGAAGTTGTTGCATTGTATTTAACTGTGCATAACTGTGTTAATGTACTGCTAGTAAGTCTTAAATTTAGTTTCCCTAACCATTACACCAAAACTCCAAAGTTATGGTGAGGATCAAGGATTATAGTTTTATATTAATTCTAACATGCCCCTGCAGATCGAGCGCCTTTTTTTATGGGTCGAAACCTGGACTCACGTAGCGGTGTCAATTTTTAGAAAATCCGCATTTAATTCGTGGCCGGTGGGATTTGAACCTGGGTTGCTCTGATACCATCTTAAATTTAGTTCCCCTAACCATTACACCAAAACTCCAAAGTTATGATGAGGATCAAAGATTATAGTTTTATATTAATTCTAACAGTAAGTATTTCAAATCTTTGCAGCTTGGAAGGACCAGTGGTCAACAAGGATTCAACTTCAGAAGCAGAAGTAACGTCCGTTGTTGAGTACTATCATATGTTGCCATACGTTGGAATTATATCCAGCTGGCTATCCAGGTTATATATACCTTCTATAATTATATGTGAGCATTTGTAGTATAGGCTATTAAAATGTGATCCTTTTGTTTTTCAAACCACCTTTTGCTATAATGTTTAATTCTTGTTAACAGGAAAAATACTACCGATAGTTCTTCACATGTACTGGGGAAGGAGGTCGTGGGTGACAAGTACTCTTTAGAGCCATATATACTGTCAAAGAAGGACCATAATGTGAACAAAACATTTGTCCTGAATGAACAGAAAGTGGATATTCAGAATAGCAAACACGGAAAACGTGATAGCTCAGTTAGAAAAGAAAATAGCAAGAGCCTATGCTTAGTGAATGGGTCATCAAAATTTGCTAAACAAGAAAATAGATCTGGCAGTCTTTGTCCTCAGCCAGACGGTCAAACCATCATGAAAAATCTGGTGATGAAATATGAATTTTTGATGAATGGGAAAGCTGAAGACATCCTAAACACCAAGAAAAACAAATTAAAAAAGGAAATGCATAATGTAAAACATGCAGGAATGTTAGGGTTGACTAATTCTTGCCATGTATCGGGTTTGCAGCATTCTTTGGTGCCAGATGGAATGACAGCCATGGAAGATCATCTGATAATAAAAAGATCTGGCTTAAGTGAGCAAAACTTGGATATCAAAAGTAGTAACAAAAAGGTCAAAACTGAAAAAGGAACTATTGAGTGCAAAAAGAACATCAATCAAATCTCAACGGACAGGTCAGTAAGCATATCACAAATCATAGCTAATGTTTCTCATGTGAATGCAGATGACCACATCACATTGGATGACCAGGCGAAAGATAACTCTTTGCGGACTGGCAAGAATAACGAAATCTTGCTCAGCAAGAAGAACCATGTAGATGCATTTACTGGCAGTAACTTGGACATCAAAAGTAGAGACAAAAAGGTCAAAACTGAAAATGGAACTATCGAATACAAAGAGAACATCAACGAACTATCATCAGACAGGCCATCTTATGGAGTTAGTAGCTCACTGATCATAGCTGCTGTTTCTCATGCTAAGGCAGATGATCTCATCACATTAGACGATCTGGCAGAGGATAATTCTATACAGTCCAGCAAGAATAAAAAAATCTTACTCAGCAAGAAGAACAATATAGATACATGTAAAGGTAGTAACCTGGACATCAATAGTAGTAATATAAAAGTCAAAACTGGAGAAGGAACTAGTGAGTATGAAAAGAACATCAATGGACTCTTAACAGAAAGGTCATCTTGTGGAGTAAGCAGATCACAAATCACAGCTGATGATTCTCATGTAAATGCAGATGAGCTCTTCACATTGGAAGATCGGGCAAAGGATAACTCTTTTCAGACTGGCAACTATAGAGACATCTCAGGCAGTAAAAAAGCTGGTGATCCCTGTATGATTGGGCTGCCTAGCGCTATTAATTCCTGGAACGGCGATAGTCCATCCCTGAACAATTACCGAATAGTTTCTCAGACTAAAGATATCAATGGAAATAGTACCATTTCAGATAGTCATGTTGATGAGGAGAACTTCATCCATAGTGATTTGAGTTCCAGGAATAGCTTTGAAAACAAGGTATATTATCTTTTAATGTTTTAAAGTTTGTCTTTGCTGATGGAGGAATATTCTCAAGTTTTTTCTTCCTGTGGAAGCAGAGTATTCTTTTATTGTTAAATTTCTATTCATATATTTCGTAGGCAATGTATACTGTTAATTGGTTCCAGTCTTCCAGTATACATGGTTCTGTGTTGTTGCAGTCTAAGCTTTTATCTAATTTTCATTTTCTATTTTCTTGGCTGAAATTTATGTTAAGAATCAATTAATTATTAACCTGATGGCTATTGGCTTGATTTATATTTATCCAGTTATCTAAGTGATGATGTTGTGTAGTGTTGTCTCCTTTGGGGATAGTTTGCTATACGAACTGCAGATACTGCAGTGTCACAAATCATGGAGGTCCAAATTGACCACCTTTATTTGCTGTTCTTATTATTCTTTTTATCAATCTCATAGTATTACGAGGTATTTGTGTTCTATGACCTCAGTAAAATTGCAACCATGAGCGGACACCTCCAAAGTTTTGAACATTTAAAGGGTAAATCTTTCAGTTGATATTGCTGTCTTTATTAATCCTTATGGAGATGACATTACTTATTTGTGCCTGAGGAATCAATACCATTTCACTATTAAAAGATATATTGTTCACATCTTGTCTAGACTTTTTTCTGATTTAAATCAAATTTGAGGCTTGCTCCTATCTTGCATTACCTTATACTGCAATGACTTGTTGGTTCAGACGCCAGCCTTACTCTTGCTGGAGGTTGCCTTTCTACGTATTGCTGTTTCTGCGTCTATGCATATTTCTTCAAAGCTCTGAACACGTCTTTTCTTCTACTTATTGTAGTAGTGCGCATGTGAGTTCTTTTGCATTTCCTAATCCTCTCTTTTCTTTCTTAGAATCTTCAGGAATGTTAAGCTGTTACTTGCTGCAGTCATAAAATTGTTGACTCCCTGTTCCTTTGAGCCTTGTAGAGAGGTGGTAAAATTTTGATAACGAAACATTTGAATTGCTAACTATTGTTGATATGTCACTAGCCTGATGTACCTTAACCCTTGAAAACTTGAGTAAATTCTTTACTGACTTATGTGTGGTGGATCTTCTAACCACATGATCTGTTTATAGTCAGCACGAGAGCATAGTAAACATTTTACCATGCCAAGCCGTTGAGTACCATCATTATCTTGTGGCAGTATATACCTACAGTCTTCAACTCACTGACATAATTATGTATGTGCTAGTGCTGGGGATCTACTGGCTTCATGATTTGTTTGGAAGATCTTACTGTCATCAGGTTCTAAATTATAAGAAAATTGAACAATTACATGAGATGATGCATCCTTTCAACGAGCAAAAGTAGGGGGGGAAGCTGCAAGTAAGAAGAACTTGTAGTTTTGTAGGGTTTTCAAAAAAAAAAAAAAATATTATAGTACTTTGTGACTAGTGTTAAGATATTTAATCCTTCCATAGATTGCTTCCTCATCCAGGCATCTTTCACTAAATATATGACAAAATTTTCTGGTCGGTAGGTTGTCAGAAAACTTTTTCAAATCTTGCATGGTGCCTTATTCCACTACCGACCTCATTTCAATACAACCCCATAGATCATGAATATACATTAAAATTTGACCAAATGAGGTCAATTAGGCAATATATCAACACATAAGCTGGATGTCAATTGTCAACATGGTAAGGACCCTTATGCAATTAGCCATGGAATATTCACCCATAAATAGCCCCTATGAATAGTACCTTAATGGTTAGTGAAGTAAAAAACTAAAAGGAGGGGGGCATAAGCAGGTTTTAAAAAAATCTACCACTACTGATACACGCAGGTTATTTTAGATAGGGGAATACTCACCGATCTAATAGCACATTGGAATCTGAATAAGCTGCTATAAATATAGTGTCAGCCATATAACTGTCGGTTTTGGCGAGTTTCACAAAGAAACATGCCGAGACTTCTTGATATGAAAAGCAAACTGAGTTTGCAATGCAATTTATTGAGGAGTAAAAACCTTTGGGTTCCCTTTTCCTTTGGTCTATTTTTATTTTTATCTTTATGAGAAAGTGCAAGGGCAATAAGAGGTGAAAATTTTCTTTTCTGAGTGAGCGGGCTAGGGTGCCCTGAGATTGAGGTTAAATATTTCTGTTAAGGCTATGGATGCATGTTTTAGAAGGATGAAGGCATGGTGCAAACCAGATTAAACCACTTTGGCAGATCATATTTAGCTGTTTAGCTGCACATCTCTAATTAATAATTTGGCTTAGAGCCTGATTGAAGAAAATGAATTGACAAATGAAGACCTAACTTAATATGTCACCTTTAATGTATCGGTAAATACTTAATTAGCAATGTACCTCTGAAGTTAAGGTGATTGGTTTATCAAATGAGGCCTTAGTGCAGTTTGGTGGATTATCTTTATTTTAATAATTTTCCTAATCAAAATGCATGACTTAAAAAACATGATCCTTGCTTGATTTGGTATGATATCTGGATCCATGCTTAATTCCGTGGCTAATTATTCGGGATTTTACACTTAAAAGAATCAGTTTGTTCAAAAGTTTATTGCTTCAAATTTCTTTGAGATATTAATTGAACTCTATTATTTAGTAATACCAAAAATTACCATGAACGGAATATAGCATAGTCCCAAAAATTGCCATTAAATATTAATGCTGGAAAATGAAAACGCTTTGAACTATTTCAAAATTTACATAAAAGAAAAATATGTAAATCAGTTTATTAGTCTTTTTCTAAATTTCGTCAACATAAATTTGCTGAAAATTATCATATTAAATAAATTATTATTCCAAATAAAATAATAGATCTTTTGAAGAACAATATTCTTTCATGAAATGTATTTAAAATTAGTAATACTTTCAATTTCACTAAATTAACTTAAATTTCTCTAGAATTAATATATCACTATTATTGGTTTCTGTTTTGAAGTATATGCTTTTATAGTGCTTAATTTACATGCTAATTTTTTCCTTTTTTTTCTTTTGATAGTTTGTCCTCATTAATATTTAAGTTTCTGCAAGTGAAGCGTCTTTCATGGCCAGCTCGCTTCGATCTGAAAACTTACTTTGACAAAAGAACCTTTGTATGTGATGGTACCTTTGAATTTTTTATGTGTGCTTGTTAATAGTTGGGGTTGGATCAAGTGGGTTCTGCTCTTTCTAGACCTAGTTTTGAATATTATGCCATGACTGGGCATAGGATTCCTCAGTACATTTTAGGATTTAAGCAGATGAAAATTTCAAAGTTTCCAAATTTTGTTGTCTGAAAATTGACTTTCTAGGCATGGTCATTGGTTTTACAAACATATATCATAAATTTCAATTTCAGCTCGAAATTTTTATCCTCAAACTGCATAGTGCATCTGGCTAATAAATTTTCATACCTTTGTATATTTTAAAGGAATTTGTGAGTGTTTGAGTGAGTACGTGAAATAAGTTCGGAATGTTACCTTCAAACATTCACCTGTTTAGAAAATGAAGTATTCAATTTTTATATGGCTGATTCCACCGGTTACATATCTATAATTGCCATTTTCTGGGGATTAAGGTCTGAAGGAATTCAAAGTAGCATTCTTCAACCTCAAGGCTCTAACATTGGAACCGAAACCTGCAATTTGAGTTCAAAATAGTTTGAAACCCTAAAATATTGAAACCTGAAAGTCTAGATCCTAAAATCTAAACCCATGTGAAAACTAAACCACATAATGTAAACCAAGAAATGCTAAATCCAAAAATGTAACCCCAGCAAATCAGTAATAACTTTTTGAACTTAAAATCATCATCTTTGTTCTATTGTAATATGGTTTATAACTGGTTATGCTTTTGTTTGTTTTGTGATTTTCAGTGTAGAGAATATTTGTTGTGTATAGGTCTCGGTACAGTTAATGGTGTTGCAGCGGAGGGGCTTCACAGACACAGAAGATGTCTCTACAAGAGTGGACAAAGAGAATAACACACAAGGATTTAATGTGGTTCGGTCAGTATGACCTACGTCCACGGGCGAGAACAGAAGAGAACTTCACTAATCACCAAAAAAAAAGATTACAAAAGAGGAGACCATTCTCTAACCAGAGACTCATAAAGAAAGAGAAATTCTTTTTATCTCACTCTCTTCTCTCTAATTATTTTCTTTCTCTTCTTTTGCTCACTGCCACGATGCATTTAAACCCTCTAACCACATCTCCTTATATAGGGATCAAAAAATGTTTAAAAAATGAAAAAGGGGCACCAAATTTCAACACAGTTTTGGCAGCCGCTTTCAACAAAGTTTGACAGCCTAATTGTTGAATTTCAAAGGCACGTGTTTAACTAATCTCCACATTGCCTTTGAAAATAAAAATCTTTTCTTTACTCTTGCTGTCTCGCCAGAAGCCCCTTACGGGCTTAACCTCCGCTTTGTCGAACTCCAAGCAATTCGAGGCAATGTTCGAACTTGCGCGAAGGTACGAGCTTCGTCATCATATCTGCTGGATTATCTGCAATACTTATCTTCTCAATCCTGATGACTTTAATTTCTCTGATAAAATGATATCTAACATCTATATGTTTGGTTCTTTCATGATACATCTGATACTTCGTCAAATGTATAGCATTCTGGCTGTCGTAAAATACCGTAATAATACCTTGGTGTAAGCCGAGATCTTCAACCAAACCTCTCAACCAAATAGCTTCTTTCACTACTTCTGTCACTGTCATATACTCTGCCTCTGTGGTAGACAAAGCAACTGTTGACTGTAGAGTCGCCTTCCAACTAATGACACTACCTGAAAGAGTGAATATATAACCTGTCAAGGATCGTCTCTTATCCAAATCATTCGCATAATCTGAATCGGAATAGTCAAGTATTCTGCAATCTGTGTTTGTGTTCCTGCTAAAATACAAACCAATATTAGCAGATCCTCTCAAATATCTAAATATCCATTTCACAGTCTGGCAATGGACCTTTCTAGGCTTATCCATGTATCGACTAACAACACTGACTGCATGTGAAATA